CCTAATTGACTTTTATAATGAAATCATAGTTATTTTTATTTTAAAAGATTACTCATAATGAATGATTAATAATAATATTATATACTTAATGCTTAATATTCTGTTGTAATCGTTGTACCTAATCCAAAGAAAGCACTCAAAAAACAGTATAAATATCTGATTGTGATAAACGATCCATTTGTACCTCACTAACCCGATATTAAACTAGAAAAACAGCGAGCAATTGAAATGTAAATCGTCTCAATATTTCGTAATACGTGTTTGGTTTGGAAACGTGACCTTAAGCTCATTATTTTAAGGTTGGATTTCGTAAGATATTGCTAAGCTTTCCTGGTAAGGGTTGAATAAATGCCAAGGAATGAACATTAGGTTTGTTTAAGTTTGGTGTCGCGACGGTGAAGGGAGACAGGATTACGATCGCGTGTTCATTCTGACAAATTGATAGACTATCGACTTTATGTACGTAAGAATTTAGACAAACACCCGCTGCCCAGAGTAAGTAGTAATTAAATCACTCGCCCGATAAAAACTATCACCAGCCTATAAATGCATACTGCTGAGCAAAGATGACATCATACAAGGAGAAGTTATGAACGTTACTTACAAGACTTTTCGGGTCTATTTCGCAGATAAACTTACTATTATAAAATCTACATGTACATTTTCTGAGAGACTGTTGTTCCTGACCGTATATCTGAGATATTTAATTCATCCTACAAAGAATAGTCACATTGGTACTTATGAAGTTTCGAATCCATATACATGAAAAGGGGGTAACTTTCCATCAAAAAATAAAGTATAGTAAGGCCATCACGACTGCCAAGACCTATATATAAGATAGTTATATAGATGTTATCTTATTTAGGTGTTAAGTTTGGTATCTATTTCACAGAGCAAAAATGTTTTGTTGAAATTAATCGCCAGCCTCGTCTAAAAGTTTAATTTCCATTCAAAAACCTCTTAATACTTAAATTTACAATAATCAAATTGTATAAAGTACTTATTTATAACAACGGCTTTAAAACAATAACTAAAGTCGTATAGCTCCCAGATTCAAATAGAAACTATTGTTATAACAAAAATTAATTGGAATAAAGCCAAGTTTTCAACTTATTTTGCCTCAGTTGCTTCAATATTTCGACCACCAGTACTCTTGAAACTTGGGCTTTACGATATTATGGAGAAGCTTCTTCAAACATTGGAAATTATTTTTTCAATAATAAACAGATAATCAGTAATGCGGATGTTTCTTGTCTATTCTTTCAGTGCCCGATTCTAAATTTCTTTTGTGGGGGAAATCATCAAATGGCTTCTCACAGTTTTCACTGGTTCATCGTTCGTCAGGCGAGAAGGAGAACCTAAAGAAAACTAGAAACCTTTTTCATTATTTTGGTACCTTTTTTTTAATTTACCTATACAAACATATTTTATTATTTTATGAAATAAGTCGGCAAACGGGCGGATGGATTACCAGGGCCCCGAGTCTACTATTTTCAAAGTGTTGTCATTCCTACACGATTCCGTTGTCATTTTGCTAAAAGTTTGTAATCTGTTAATTGAAAATGGCTGATCATTGGCGTTCGGCGATGTCGTAATAGAATTATAGTACGAGATGTCTTGTAACGAATTATAAACAATAAGTGAACATTAATATTCTAAACGTAAATCATTGAATAAAGTAACAGACATTTTTTATTAATTTACTGCATAATGTCAAATACTCATTTGTCATTATGTACGAGATTACCGTTCTAAAGAATTATTTCAATGAAGTGGTATTAAAAGTCATAATGACGCCATCGTGTTAGTAAATTACCAAACTTGTCAAAATCAACAATTTTGAAACCAATGATCTACTATTGTAAGCAATCGGTGCGGGCCAGGGACACCCGCAACATTCTGTGTTGCGTTTGCCGACTTATTTCATAAAAATATGAAATATGTCAACACCAAAGGAGGTACGAGTGCATTGCCGGCCTTTTAGGGATAAGGATTGGGAAGGGATAGGGGAGGGGGGATTGGTCTCCGATAACCTCACTTACACAGCGAAACACAATTATGACAGAATATAAAATTAGAAAAGAAAATACAACAAAACTGTACAATCTAAAATAATTTGTATTGTATTTTGGAAAAACCGCATTGAAAACACCACGTGTTGTGTACTTGAAAGGTATTCCCATTGTGGAACCTCAACATATTTCACTGGTGATTCATGGTGCCCGCTCAGGAGGGATTTTTACAGCTCTCGTAATTAATGGTTACATGACGTTATTGCTTGCTACAGCAGAACAATGGACGACCCGGTAATATAAATTAAAATATTTGTACATCTGTAAAACATTTTCAAATAATATAAACTAAATGATGCCCGCGGATGAAAGGACCACGTTGGCAACTTTGGCACAAACCATAATAAATTTAGATCTTTCTGGTGTAATAACAAAGAACTTCATAAAACTAAGATGACTTGATTAACTGCAATTTATATTCTGAAATCATTTCTCCTACTTCATAGAACGCAATTACTAAACTAGATCAACCCGCCAAAATTTGTTATAAAATGTTTTGGAGCAAGATATTTCTTCTAAAGAAACATTTTTCTTAATAATTTATGCTTGTAGAAAAACAGATTTTTTGTTGACAACGCGCAGTTAAAAAATAAATTAAGAGTCGTTAGGAGTATTCGCCGAATACGAAGAGAGATTGAAGATTTAAAGAAGAAAGAATTTGTCAAAGAAGAAGTATACAAGATAAAACCTCCAAATTACTACCTGAAAACTAAAACGCGCCATCTGAAGGAAACTGTTCAACTCTCTTAATTCGTATCAATTCCTCTCGTAGCCCGCAAAGTGAGATATAAAATTCCGCGCCAAAGACCCGAATTGATTCAAATGTTGCGGATTTCCAACGTCCGCGCGGAACACAAGAAATGTATGAAAGTTTTTATCGAATAAGAACTGGGGAAATGTCTGATTTATTCCAACCTTGAAGGAATTACAGCGCTCGTAAATAATATCACCATTGAGACTATTCAGAAAATATTTTTGATGAAGAATATTCCGAGTAACTTTTACTATTCTGAAAGGAAAATTAATTTTATAAGTCAGCGCCAGTGGGAACATGTCAAATACTGAATTCCGTGTTATTGCGATGATCGCAAACAGTTTTGAAAGTCATTTTGAGTGTCATCCGCCCCTCGTCTTAATGAGTCTAGTTATTAATACAGTGTATTTAGATTTGGTGTGTAATTACGTCGCCGTGGGAGCATGTATGTTATATTTACGGAAAATTGCGAGGAATTTTGGGAAATTAAGACGGAGAAGCAACCTTACATGATCTTACTGAACCGGTTTAGTAATTACGCGGAGCTGATGTTACTTCATCTTTAAGAACAAACTTAGCTGTAATCTCGCGGAGTTCTCATCACGCAAGGAACCATAGGCGACTAGTTTAAAACGGATTTTTCCTCGAAATGGGGCAGCTGCAGACTGATAATATTATCTAGTCCTCTCCCGTTAAAGTCTAGAATAAACTGAATAAAGACAGTAAGCTGCGGCGCTTTCTGACGTAATCAGATATCGTCTGTCTTTAGATTAGATCTCTGAAGATTTATGGCTCTCGCGGCCGCAATATTGAAGTATTTTATAGTACAAGTTACGAGACATCTGTGCACCGCTGCTCTACACCGATAGCTAAGTCTTCAATAGAAACTAACTTGGAAAATATTAGTTTTGTTTCGGTTGGTTTTTTTTAATAATATCATTAAGATCCGCCATTAAGCTGTCAATGTTTATTTGATGTGACTTCATGGTTGGTGCAGTGGCTGAGTGACCGGCTGATGTGCGACATCTCGCTTGAAATAACAAGTAACAAGTATGATCCGTAAATAGTTGTTCCTTGTGTAAGTGAATTTGTATATTTGTAAACACATCATTAACACAATCAATCACAGCATAGGGCGATAGTAAAAATAAATTACCTAAAACGTAAACCTAATTTCAATTTTTGTATATTCGGCACTGCATACAATGTGAGGAAGGAGAAATTTCATTGTGAATAATAACTGGGTGTGAGATTCGATTGCAAAGCAAACACCATTACTAATCCATCTTAATACTATGACTTGCGATTAACTTAAATGATCGTTGTGATACTTAGAGTTCCTAGATTCCATTATGCGATAGCAAGAAAATAATCTCAGGACATAATGTGAATCTCTCAATCATGATTGCAATCTAAAACGTATCTGAATCTAATAATGTAAGATTATGTATTATCTTATAATATTCTACAAAGTTGGCTTAAGTTTCAGACTGAATATTAAACTTTTGCTTGGTTCATTTAATATTGTTTCACGCTAGGGATAGCTTACGGATTTACTTGAGGAAATTGAATAGTATTTGTAAGAGGTTTATAATTAACAACGAGATTGAAATAATTGGTCGTTAATTTTAGATGGAGATCACACAACAGTGTGTTAATTCCATATCATGTTACAAAGCATTAAAGGCTTTTTAAATCTTAATTAAGCAAAAGACCACTCAACTGCACTTATTTCTTTATTGTAGGTACCTATATAATAGTTCGCGTTGGTAATTTCTTTATTAAATTGCATTTTTAGTACGTCGCCCGTTTTACATACGCGATTATAGGTCCAAGCGATCATTAAGAGAAAATTGGTCCGCATTAAATATTCAACGAACTTAGGTTCAGTATTTGAAATAAACTAAAACCTCTAATAACATATTCATATACTGAATAACTTAGTTAGGGTACATGTAGGGTCTTAATATAAATTCCAGTATCATGATCTGGAATTTTAGAGTCAGAAACAAAAACTAACCTTACCAGTTACCTTCGTTTTTTTTGTGATAGGTAATGAATACTATAAATATTTGTACTAGCTTTATATATTGTTTGGTACCAAAGGACCAAGTTTGGTCCTTTTGGCGATTTTGGAAACTTTCATAACGTAAATTGTATTAAACCTTCAACAGGGTATCAATGTTAACTTTGTGACTGAACAACAAACATCACTTCGAAGCGACTCAAACAAGAAAAATAAATTATTAACCTCACTCCGGTAATTAATAATGGAATTAATAATTCAAAAACCATTTCCGGCACCCGTCGACACGGTCGCAACCGCAGCCCATCCGAATATGTCAACCAATTTACATAATTAATCTTTCCCACCAAAGTATACTCATTAATAAAATCCTGGCCTTGATTAACGCTTGCAATCCATTCCGAATTCAAACAAAACATAATTAAAATGGCGGACGAACGCTTCCGATTGGTTCCCGAATTATGTAACCGATCAATTGCGGCTAGTGATTAAAAATGTAACGGTTTGCATCGTCGCTAAGTAATTGTTTCCGTCCGTAATTAAAACTACATTAACTATTCAGTTGTTATCGATTATAATATAAACTTTACAGGCCATTGGTCTGTGTAAATCTGTAATTATGATTTTCAGGAAAGTTCATTCACATATAAGAACCAGGAAAACAGAACTAGATCCGGTTGGCATGGCGGTTGAGCAACTGGCTGCCGCGCAGCTTGTAGCGGGTTCGATACCCGAACGGAATAACTCTTTGTGTGATCCACTGATATATCTTGTCATAGTGCAGATTGAGATCCTTACTAGTAGATAGTATGTGTTGCTTTCTTTCTTTCTTTCTTTCTATCCACAAACTGTTGTTCCGGTTTGAGTTTGATGTGTAGGTATGTTTTAAGCCCACCCACGAATCAACAGAAATTCCTATCATGAAATAAAGGGTAAAATAATAAAAATATCACGATTTTCATTCTGTTTTTATAATAACTATCGTGAGACATACTAAATTAACTAAAATTCGCGGGTTACTCACGTGCAAATGTTGAGAAAAGCTCTACTAGTTTCGAACCACAGAGGGGTTCTTCCTCATGAGCAGCGTGCGCGGACGCGGCGACGTCGCGCAGCCTACTGGTTAGCGTTGGCGCCTGCATCGCTGTTGATGGTTGCGCTGCGGCGAGTCCAACGCGCCATCTGCCGGATACCACGCGCGTTTGCTGCCATCTCCGGCGGCGGCGCGTGTGACGATGTTGAGGCGCACGGTACGTTCACCAGTGGCGCGGGTAGTGGGTTCGATTCCGGGCCCGGCACAAAGTCTGTGTTACATATGACGCTTACTGTGTCACACTCCAGACTGGATACGCTTCGGACCGACGTAGTCTCCAAGCTCGGCTTCCACGCGGGTGGCAATGCCCAGCCACCATCCCTGTTGAAACACGGACGTCGGCTAATCTCGATAGCCTCTCGCACTTTTCGCGGAACGAAGTATTTCTCCCTCGCCAGTACGGAGACCTTATCAAAACGTATGAAGTGAGCCGAGTCCGTCTTACGAGGACATCCAAAAACGCAAGAACGAAAATATAGCATCAGGACGATCTTCCGCCCACCCGGTCAGCTGAGACAACTGCTACGCTCGCCAAAGGATAAGGATCCACTAGCTGTACCCGGTGTGTACATTATACCTTGCGACTGTGGCTCAAGTTACATCGGTGAAACTCGGCGCAACATCACAACCAGGCTAAAGGAACATATACGTAGCGTGAAGAAGATGGACATCCAGGCATCGGCTGTGGCTGAACATGTTTGCGGCACGGATGCGGCTCACTTCATACGTTTTGATAAGGTCTCCGTACTGGCGAGGGAGAAATACTTCGTTCCGCGAAAAGTGCGAGAGGCTATCGAGATTAGCCGACGTCCGTGTTTCAACAGGGATGGTGGCTGGGCATTGCCACCCGCGTGGAAGCCGAGCTTGGAGACTACATCGGTCCGAAGCGTATCCAGTCTGGAGTGTGACACAGTAAGCGTCATATGTAACACAGACTTTGTGCCGGGCCCGGAATCGAACCCACTACCCGCGCCACTGGTGAACGTACCGTGCGCCTCAACATCGTCACACGCGCCGCCGCCGGAGATGGCAGCAAACGCGCGTGGTATCCGGCAGATGGCGCGCTGGACTCGCCGCAGCGCAACCATCAACAGTGATGCAGGCGCCAACGCTAACCAGTAGGCTGCGCGACGTCGCCGCGTCCGCGCACGCTGCTCATGAGGAAGAACCCCTCTGTGGTTCGAAACTAGTAGAGCTTTTCTCAACATTTGCACGTGAGTAACCCGCGAATTTTAGTTGATTTTCATTCTGTTTTTAATTAAGAACCATCTAATTTTCGAATCGATCAAAAGTTAATAACTTTATACGCTAAAGAAACAACGAGAACCCACAAAAATATACACAGTGAAGTATAGAGGTTCATATTTCTAGCTAATGCCGACACATGGTACACAATTACACATTAAAGTGAGCGGCAGACGCTAGGCTGTCTTCAAATTAGGCGCTCAGACGTTGCACCGCCACGCCGGCCGCTGCGAGCTGGTGAAATAATTTCCATTCATATGCCACAAACCACAGTACGTTGCATCTTTACGAGTGCAGCTGTACAAATTGCACGAAATTATAGAAAACAATGAAATGCAAACGTATTGTAAGATTTTCACAACTTTAAGTTGTCTGCAATATTAAATTAAATTGTAGATTTTCATGAATATATACAGTAAAGGACACATTTTCTAATAGTTAATAATAAAGTGCTGAGTAAAAAAAACATTGCCGCTAGGATTGGAATACATTTAAGCGATTTTTTTAAGTTTACTTGCTTGTCTCAAAGAGCTAAGGGTTAGTTTACTTCAACTTACAAAACAGGCAAAAACCCATGTATTTATATTTACCTCGAATAACCCAAACTACTCTATCTTAGTTAATAAGACATCGGAACTGTAAATTGGCTCTCCATTTAATTCGCACAAGCTTTACATGATAAAGGAATCGCAAGGCTTTGTGAGCGTTAAGCAAACTGTTGTCTGATACAAAGCACCGATGTTTTTGTAATACTAATTGGCTTTTAATTAGAGAATGTGTGTTTGATCATATTGGGGGGAGGTAGGGGAAAGGGGGAGGATTCAATCGTACTATTTACCAAACAAATTAGGTTGAATATAGGTACTTGGTACTTACCTATTTATTCAACCTGATTTGTTTCTATTTAAATGAGATATCGGAGACAAATTGCAAGATAATACTTTTCGATATATAGATATTATATAGTTAGATATTCGGTATTTTGTTGGATGTTCATTTTTTGAACTGATCTCGCAATGATATTTGGTAAATCTTAATACCAGTATAGCTACAATTCATGTAGCTTAGGTATGTTCAAATAAAATTCCTGATCAGCCGAAGTACGGTGGCACTATATATTTTATCCTAAAAATTGTCTACCAAACAAGTCAGTTCCACGTAAGTCTGGACACGGCGCGACGCAATCGCGTGATCACGAATCCATTCACCGCTCCGAACCGTAGCAACCTTTGAGCCCTCTCGGTTCACGCGAAATGTATTCAGACATAAAAATCCCCACTTTACCACCTGACCCGGAAAATTGTCGGCGAAAAATTTCACATTACGGATTATTTTGTAAACGGTATTCCTGTTCGATATTCCATGTTTTTTTTTATTATTATTATTCGCGAAAATCATTTGTATATTTTTCCTACATAATTCCGCATTCAGGGAATATTTTTTTGCGAAATAATAATAATCAAGGATAAGGATGAGAAGGCGAACAGTTTATTTTCATCTCTTAATAATATTTTCTAACGCTATATCCTTTTAATATCTATATCAATAAAAATGCTGTGTAGGTTGAAGAAAAACGGGAAATTGAGACGATGTTACATAATTCATGGTAATCGAAACATAAGAACGACATTCTAGAAATAAAAAAACTAAATATAAAATTTTTCTTAAAACGAACCGGAAAAAAATTACGGCTCTTGGGTTGAGGCGTCCGCTTTTCATACTAAGGTTCAAATCCTGGCAAGTACTAAATAAGATTTTTACAATTTTTTTAATTACTAGACTTTCTAATTATCTTTTTTAAATCGCTTATCCGCCTAATAAAGAAGCATGGTGATAAATACTCAATTGTTACCCGTGTGGCTTGTTTGCTCAACAATGGGCATTTATAGACTAATGAAAAGACAGGCAGGGAAGTGTTTTAGCAAAATTAATACAGCAAAAGTCACATGAAAGCATTTAAGAAGTCTAAACACAAAGACGAAGCTCATCGTAACAAAATAACCTTGGAGCAACATCTCAGCTGTATCGAGGTAATCTCAAAGAAATTCCAGCGTCGTATGTGATTATTCAGTAAAAGCGCAAAGAGCGTAGCGATCAGTAAATATTTAAAATTCTCGAAGCGAAAGTTTCTCGCACGGGAACGCGACTTGAATATTTTAAGTACTGTATGCTACTTTCATATGTTCGTAATTACCTGCTGTAGGGAACGCACATTTTGAGGGGAGCCCGGGACCCTGCGAGGGATGAAACGGTGTCTGGAAAATTAAGTAGTTCTTAAATCTTTAGTAGACTGTAAGTTCCTTAATAATTCTATCATTTATTTCATTCTCTATTACATAATACTAAAACGAAACAAACTTGTTAACTAAAAAGCATTTGTTTATTCAGAATGAAACCTAATATCTATAGAAACTGCGTATTTAAAATACAACTTTAACTGGCCTATAAAATCTAAGTGTCAAATTAACATTAGGTAGTTACAGCAAATCTTAGATAATTAGAGCGCCAATTGAAAATCAAGACAGTCTCACTTACACCCCAAATGTAACACCCTGTACATTATAAATCCCCCCTACACATACCTCCTTTAATTATTGACGGGGGAATAAAGTTATCAAGTTGCAGTTAAGTTAAAGGTCCCATCGGTTCTATTGTCGGCTCAGTGTAAGATTTAACTGTAATATAAGCGAGTTCAAAACGTTTGACAATTTAAATCTCGATTATAAGAATGTTTCTTTGAAATATTCAATTAAATTTTCAATCTCCTGTGAGTATGAGTTGTTAATCTGTTTCTATGTGTGGATGGAAGCGATTACAGGATAATATTAAGGAGTTTTCGTTTAAGCTTGCTACTATAGATAGCGATGTATTTACCTTTACCTTCTATTAAATTAAATATTTTCTTTTTCGAATTCTTTGGGTAAGTGTTCACACACTGTTCTCGCATAATGGAATCGACTAACTAAATAATGTAACAAAGAATTGAATTTTGAAACTGATTGAACATGAAAATCTATGGAGTTTCTTGTCTATTTTTTCTATAGGATGTACAAATTACAATTGATAACGAGGACAGATGTACGGACTGACACTTTTTAACCTTTACACATTTAAGAATTATGTTAGATTGCTGTACGAATATAACGACTTAGGTCTGATTTTTCAATGGTTAGATAAAAGTTACCTGGCGAATAATTATGATGTTGTCGCGTTAGAATGTTTGTATAAGACAGTGACAGCAACAATTTTATTCATCAGATAACATTTATCTGACTATTGAAAAATCAGCCTTATCACGTGGAATTACGGAGAAAAGCTCTAGTAGTTTCTAGTAACAGCGGGACTCTTATTCATGAGCAGCGTCCGCATAGCCTACTCACTAATTATCAGAAGATACCACCTATATTCAATCTCATAAACAAGTCGTGGTCTTTTTCCAGTGATCATTGAATTTCAATGCAACACTAAAT